CTTCTCTTTGTGTATCAGTGTCTATATCAATATGTGCCCTGGAATAAGATAACTTCAATTCCTATAAAGCTGTGTGCACAATTTAACTCTTAATGCCGTAAGTAGAGATAAGTCCATATTCTTAGCAGTAAGTTACCTGAGTCCTGGCAGACATCATAAATTTTCTCACTGGATCAGTATATTCTAAGTCATAGGGAAAAGCAAGATGTACATAGAGGGTTTGTTCTGGAGTTCTAATCTTTGTGCCATAGGATATGAGCAGCTTCTCAGAATGCTTCTGTACTTTTGAACAACATGGGTAACCTCTTGGGTGTCCCATCTGCTAAAGATCTTAATTCAGTGGTAAATGAATCATAGAATCAGCTGGGTTGGAAAAGACCTCAAAGATCATTGAGTCCAACCTTACCGTGGTTACTAGACCATGGCACTAAGTGCCACATCCAGTGTCATCTTGAAAACCTCCAGGGATGGTGAATCCACCACCTCTCTGGGCAGCACATTCCAATGCCTGAACTGAAGCAATAGTGTGGACAGCACAGTGTATTCCTACTATTCATTTTAGTAATGGTATGTTTGGGGTGCAGATTGTCCCATAAGTGTGGAGCTTAAGTACTTGAAAAGATGCTGAGAAATGTTGGTAAAGTTACTGTCATAAGGACCTTGAATTCAGGGATTTCTTCAGCAGTGGATGTCTTTGTACAAGTTGCATCTTTGGAGGAAGAACCTCATTTTGGCAGTAGCCTGTTAGAAAGGGATTGTGTTCTTATCACTTACCAGGTTATTTTGATACCTTTTGGGGAAAAAAACAATAGGATTTCCAGCATTTCATTGAGCACAGATTGGATAGAAATGATTGAACGTGCCTTGATAATAGGATGCATTTTGAAGTGTTTCAAGGCACACACTGTGCTCAACAAGGCTGTAGTGTGTGTGGTGTTTTTCATATCAGACAGACAGGGCTGAGCCGCTCCTCAGTCACACAGCTTGCTTCCCAGAAAGTGTTGGACTTGCTATGTGTTTGCAGAGCTTACAAGTCATCATGTGGGTGGTAAATGCATTGCAATCCGGTTTCCCTGACAGATATTTGATGGGTTTCCATCACGGCCATCATTTCACAAATTCCTAACAGAAAATGAAGACACATCTGAGGAAAAGTGTATATAGGATACCCTACGCTATTGTAGCAGCTTCCAGAGTATGCTCAATGAGGATCATCACCACATATCAGGGCTGCATTTCCTCCTTGTGAATATGAAAGCCAAGAACTTGGTGCTGCCGAAGTATCCATCTCTTTCAAAGTATGGGAGATAGCAATTTCTAGAAACTTTTTCCTGGTTCTGAGCTAAGAATTCATCTTCTTTCAGCTACTGATCCTAAAGGTTATTCAGAAGATGTGGGTAGACAAGCAGATAACTTCACATTCAGTTTGTGCCTTGGAGCTGTAAGGAGAGCCATATGCTCTGATTTATAATATGCAAAATCTATATATTTTGGGATTGAGGCTGCATTCTTCGTCTGTATAAGAATTTTCTGACATATTTTAAAAGAGAAGTTTCAGATTGTGTTGAAAGTGACCCTCCCTTGGCCTTTTGACTTACATATTCAGCTAACACTGCCCTCTGGCAGCTGAAACAGCTGGAGTTGTACCTTAGTTGCACTGTAACTGTGTTTCTGAGTGGGTTAGTGATTATATTTGCAGCAAATCAAGTCCTAGATATCAGAGAAGTTGGAGTGTCATTTAGCTGTACTTACCATTACCACTCTTTTTTAACTGAATAAGGTACTTTAAATTTATACTTTCCGTTGACCAAACAAACAGTTAGCTCTTTTCTGGTTTACTTTTCCAGTATACTAGAAACAAAGTCTCAACTCTGTGTCATGAATTGCAAGAAATAGCGTAGTTATGTATAGCATTTTAAAATACCTGAAATTAACTAATCTGTACAGTTTGGAGAAGCTGTTCATTCCAAGATATACTTGTCCAAAGTTGACACCAGAAGTAAGAAGTTAGCTCTGTCTCAGAAGCAGAGAGATCTGAAGTCCCTTCGTAGTCTGCAGAACTTCGAGCTAATTTCTCTTCAGGCTTAGATCTGGAGTTAGTTTTTATCATTGAAGTCTTTTTCTCTGCTCCATCATACATTTCTACCAGAAAAAAAATATTCTTCTGATTCCAGAGACTATATAACATTACAGTCTTTCAGTAAAATATAAGAAAATGGTAAATATGTTACTTAGGAATTGCTCATAGCATGACATTTATTAAATTTTTACGTCTTTCTCTGGTTACATAAAGTTGCAGCTAAAATCAGTCTAGTACCCTTAAGTATGTTTAAGGACTTGAAAGTCTTTGATCTGTTAAGTGTCAAACTCCCTAGATTTCATGGGGATACTTTACTTATTAAGGCTAGCAGCTGGGATTGTGCTGTGTGCCTCTCTTCAAAGAGAGGCAAAAAAATATAACTGTTGTTAGTACATTTTACTTGAGGAAATAGCTTACCATCAAAGTTGCCTAAAAGTCAATGTTGCAGTTCTTCCCCAAACATATGACTTAAAGTGCAATTAGCCTTATACTTACCTCTGCTTGGCTAATAGCATAAAAATTTCTGTAAAAATTCTGTGCTATAAAGTTAATATTAAAGCCAAGGTAGTTATTGCTTTGGATATTTTCTGATGCTAAAGAGATGCTTAGTGGCTTGAGACTATCGGCAGTGTTCTAGAAAAAACATACGTTGGTGGGTTTGGTAGCCACAACTGGCTGTGAAGAGCTGAGCTCTCAGAAGTGCAGAGCGATGATGTGATGCTGTGTAGGACGGTGATGTAATGCCTGTAGCAGTTCACATTTTGAGTTCACATGCTGTTACGACAGTTGCTGCTGCACAGGGAAGAAGTGAGAAGCAACCTGCCCCAGCTGCTAAGCTTGCTCAGCTGAATTAGTCAGCCTATCATGCTGGTGGATCTGGTGAGGAACTCACTGTGTGGGGAGAAAATAGTCTGTGTTCCAAACAAAAGCAACTGCACTGAAGTAATTTCAGGGAAAAATAATCTCTGTTCTAGGGTAAGAGTAGTTTTTCTATTAATGGGTTTGCTGTTTCTTGTGCTGTGCCTGAGCAGGACCCTTCTTCTGGTAATCTGATACCATAAGGTGATTCTTTTGTGTCAAGATGTTTCCCTTCTAATGACAGTCTAATACTTTAAATTCACTTAGGTAGCTGTTTGTTATGGTTTTGCCATAATATCATCATCTTGTAGAGAAAATCTTTCTGTTGTGAGATAACCTCTCCTTTCTGAATCTCAAATGAACTGTAAACAGCAGCTTAGACTTCTTGTTAGCCTAAGCTGACCTTGAGGACTTGACATCATTTCCACTTATTCTGGTTTTGAGTGCTCAGAATGAATGTAAACCAAATTTTTCATCTGGACAAAACTCCAGAAGTACTTAAGTAATAATTCAGATTTGTAATTTGAAGGTGTCAAACATAAGTTGTATTTCTTCCTTTCCTTCCCCTTTTTTTCCCCTTATTTCCTGTTCCTCTGAAGTGCTGCTTTCAGAATTGTGTCAGAATTTTGGCCATCAAAGTTAGCTACTGTGTTTGTAATAGATTTTTTTTTCTCCCTCTTCCTCTCTATTTGTTAGGTTTTCTTCAAAGAAATTTTCCTGTATATCTTGGAAACTTCTACTAGCTCATTTGACCATAAATGGATGGTTATACAAACACTGACGAGGATATGCGCAGGTATTAACCACCATTTGGGTCTAGTTTTTATCTTAACAAAACTGTACTTGCCTTTCATTGGTTCCAAGGTTGACAGTGTCACTCTATTTACAGATGCCCAGAGTGTAGTGGACATCTACGTGAACTATGATTGTGATTTAAATGCAGCAAATATATTTGAAAGGCTGGTCAATGACTTGTCAAAGATTGCTCAAGGAAGGGGTAGCCAAGAACTTGGCATGTCGAATGTTCAGGTAAATATTCCATCAAACCTTATGAAGCTTCATGTTTCTTGGCATGACAGGTTGAGGCTAAACTGTCCATTCCACTAATTAATTGCTTATGAAATCTCCTCTAGGAATTAAGTTTGAGGAAAAAAGGCTTGGAATGCTTAGTGTCGATCTTGAAGTGCATGGTGGAGTGGAGTAAGGATCAGTATGTAAATCCCAATTCCCAGACAACACTTGGTAAGACATGAGATGTGTTTCTTCTGCCTTTGCTGAAGAGGTGCTGCAGGTGTTCAGTGTATTCTTCCAGTATTTTGATACTGGTAGTGTTCAGACTGTAAAGCCTCTTGCATGAAAAAAGGAGAATAAGGTGGGGGGTTTTTCCTCTGGTAGGAATACTGGTAAGTTTGGTCTAATTTTAACAAGTTGTCTAAGTTATCTTTTTCTAATTGTATGAATTCCTAGAACGCTACTAGACTGAAAATTACTAAATGCTGTTATTTTCTGTATTTCTAATTATAAAAGAATCTCAACCCTTGCTTTGAAGCTCTCCTAATTTAATCTAATTTCATATTAATTGAAGTACTGCTAAAGCAAGCTGGATGGAGAGTGGTTTTTTTACTTACTAGTAAAAAAAGATTACTTATTTACTTGTGCTTATTATAGATATAGAACTTCGAACATTAGAAGAAGTGAAATAATTATATCATTACTGGTTTTAATCTTGTTTCCATCTGATCTGAGATGAGAAGTATTAAAAAGTTATACCAGAATTTTTAGATCAGGCCCTTAAAGTTGGTAGGTAAAGTAATAAACATTGTAGGGTTGGTTAGCATGGCTGTCTTTGTGAACAGGGAGCAGCAGCTCCTTGGCATGCCTAAACCTTTAGACACTATGTTTCCGAAACTTGGAGTAGTGTGATTTGCTTCAGGTCGAAAATTATAGCAGACTTGAAAGTAAAAGGTAAGAGCTGTAATTGGGTTTCTAAGCTGTCATGTGTTCTTTTTCCATGTACCTACAAATTATGGCTGTAATTTAAGGGTCACATTTCAGTATGTGATGAGCTAAAAGAATTCTCCTTGATATGTTTCAGCGGGTTTTTTAATTCTTTATTTTCCCAACCAAAATAAAAGCAGAATATATAAAAATAAGTACATTATTGAAGATAACCATAGGCAGTTTTAGAAGCCTTCAGAGAGGATTTGAAGAATAACCTGTGATTTTAATTTCTTTTCACTGCATGTATTCTGGATGCATGTAACCCTTTCCAATTTATAGGTCAAGAAAAACCTACAGAACAGGACAGCAGTGAAACCAAACACCCTGAGACAATTAACAGATATGGAAGCTTAAATTCCTTGGATTCTACTGCTTCATCAGGAATTGGCAGTTACAGCACACAGATGTCTGGCACTGACAACCCAGAGCAGTTTGAGGTCCTAAAGCAACAAAAGGAAATAATAGAACAAGGAATTGACTTGTGAGTGCCCTTTTATCACCCGTGGGAGGGTGGATTCTTTTGGAGCTATGAAGATTCCTGGGTTTTTCTTCCTTCTCCTCATAGATACTCATCTTGTGTTAGGAAAAAAGCTCTGGATGTAACAGCACTTCCTCTGGTCAAAGAGTGCTGAATGCTGTCCCCTTTGGAGCGTGTCAACAGTGTTTTGTGTTAACCTAATTCCTCACAGCTAGAAGATGAGTACTCTGAATGTTTGTTCTTTTTTTCTCCAGACCTGCTTGTCTAAAAATAAGATTTTTATATTTAGATAAAAAGAACATTGAACTCGTGATCAGTTAAATGTGACCTGTTTTAATGTACACATTACTGGTGAAAGTACCTGTATGCTTAAGCTGATGCTTCCTTCTGATTAATTAACTTGTCATAATTAGAACTGGAGGATAGTGTAATTTCTCAGTGCAATCTGACATGAATCTTCTGTGTGATTTCAGCTTTGTCACCTCAGCCAAGTTTTCTTTAGTATAGTTCTGGGATCCTGAACAGACATGCCTTAGTCCTGTAGGTTTTCAGGTGCTTTCCTTGTTTTGTACCTTTCCATTCTTACAGGCAATTTGTGGATTCCTTGATTGTTTCATACAGATCAAAATACAATCTACAGAGCATAATTGTTCTTTCCAAGCCCAGATTTGCTGTCCCTGTGGAATATTTTTTTCTTCACGAGTGTCAGAGTAAATGATAATGTTTACCTTTCTTTACTGGGAGCTGCCTGGATGACATGCTTGGTAGTTATGTAGCAAAGAGAAGGAGGAAGCTGTTTACAGGATAACAGCAACAAAAAAAGCATCATCCAATGATGATGGGAATAATAATAGAAAGGAATAGCTCATTCCCATCTAATGCACGGTTTGATAAAGGGAAAATATTTAATACAGAGATTTTTCAGTACCTCATCTGAAATTATAAACTCTTTTTACTTAAGCTGGTACAGCTTTGTGCCTGGGTAAAAGGATTAACTCTCATTCTGTCCTGATCTTGATTGTACAGGTTCAATAAGAAACCAAAGAGGGGGATTCAGTACCTGCAAGAACAAGGAATGCTTGGCACTACCCCTGAAGATATTGCTCAGTTTTTGCATCAAGAGGAAAGATTGGATTCAGTAAGAAAACTGTTTTTCTTAATGGTTGTTTTTATGCATGCTGATGTATTTATACTAATTGCACATCACTGGATCATGTTTTAAGGTGTATAACATTACTGTACAATGAAGAAAAGTAAACTTCCCTCTCTTCTAAAATTCGTAACCTCAAGGAATTTGGAGTGTGCATTAGAACTATATCCTGCACTTTATGTATCCTGCAGTTCAGCAAAGTCTAAAGGAAGACTGACCTACCTGAGCTGACTCACAACTTTGTTGCTAGTATAGCTAGGAACAACTTAGTAAATTATATATACTTCAGTCCAGCTAAAAAATTATGTGCTGCAACCACATGAATTTTGCTGTCCCCCAAAAGAAAGGTATTTCTTTGATTTTATTTACAGCTGGCAGCTGTTCCTGGACTTGGAGGAAAGAGTCCTGCAATATCTGGCTGAGGAGGGTGGGAATATGTGATGTTAATATTATCATGAAAAACAGCCTTCTGAAACAGGAGTCTGCACCATTGTGCTTAGTAACCATACCCATTGGTGTCCTTGCTTGCAACTGTGACTAAAGTCACAAATTTCAGTATTAAAACTTAGAATCAGCCATCAAAACAAATTTTTAACCTCTGTTAATGCAACACAGTGCAGTGAAAAATGGCATGCATTCAGATAAAGATGCCTATATATGTGTATGTAAACAGTGATCAACCTGGATGTATTTGAGTACCAGGTATTTATATTTGAGCATCACTTGCATCTGTTTAAGATCTGTACTCTAGGGGATAAAGTTGAGTTTAGTAACCTTTTAATTCCTGTAGTAAGTTTCCTAACTACAAAAATCATTATAACAAAGAAAAATAATTGGTAATATTAACTTTGGCTTGTGCACATGTAGAACTCATCCAGTGGAAAAATGGTATATGAGTAAAATCAGAGAAGGAAGAATGTAGACAAGTATGTATGAGCTTGTAAGAGCATTATGATGGAATATATGGCAGAAATACTTTTCTTTAGAGGGTAGAGAAGAAACAGGAGTATGTCTTAATTAACTGCATACAGAGTTCTATTTTTGTGACACATTTGACTCTGTTGGTCTTACTTTTCTTTTTCAAGTGTAAATGCACTGGTTTATATTTTCTGTTCTTATTTTAGACTCAGGTTGGGGAGTTCCTGGGAGACAATGATAAATTTAACAAAGAAGTCATGTATGCATATGTAGACCAACACGACTTTTCAGGAAAAGATTTTGTTTCAGCTCTGCGCATGTTCCTAGAAGGATTTCGTCTTCCAGGAGAAGCTCAAAAAATTGATCGCCTAATGGAGAAATTTGCTGCTAGATATTTAGAATGTAACCAAGGGTAAGAAGCACTTTGTCTTCAGAACTTTGGAAAGCTGAATAATTAGTAAAAAATCCTAATAAATTAAACTTGTTCTTTTTCTCCTTTTTGCCTTCAGGCAAACTCTTTTTGCTAGTGCAGATACTGCATATGTTTTAGCTTACTCAATTATCATGTTGACAACAGATCTTCACAGTCCACAGGTATGTTGCTGGAATAAATATCTGTGTAATCCATAGACATGTAACTTCGAGGCTTTGTGACAATGTAGTTGTAAAAGCTTGGTGTCCGATTTAGCACTGGTACATGTGTAAAAAGTAAGGTAGCTTAAGTTTGTGCATCTTTTAAGTAACAGTAGTATGTTTCATGGACGCTGAGATTAGATTGCTTTGGTTAGGCCTTTCTGTAAGGCTGATGTCTGTAAGACACATAGTTTGGTCTGTATGACTAGATAAAACACTTTTTTTCTTTCTTTTTTTTTTTCTTGTAATATATGTCTAGTTAATCTGTGGATCCTACCAAATATGAGTGTTGGGATGTCTTCATGGCCTTGTGTTATTTTGTAGATTTGACAGTGTAGTCTTTCATACGTTGAATACTTTAAAATGTCTTCTGAATCAGCAGGTTTATCCTTGATGGTAACTCTTTATCTGCTGGACATTTTTATAGGCAGCATTGTAACTGCCATGAGCTTGCCTCATTTGTTGATATTTACAGCTACTTTCTGGATTTCAGGTTAAGAATAAAATGACAAAAGAACAGTATATTAAAATGAATAGAGGTATCAATGACAGTAAAGATCTCCCTGAAGAGTATTTGTCTGCTATCTATAATGAAATAGCGGGAAAGAAGATTTCAATGAAAGAAACAAAAGAATTAACAATACCCACAAAATCCAGTAAACAGAGTAAGTAGTTGCAATGTTAGCCTTCTTCACAGTGTTGGCTTGTCAGTTTCATGAAGTTCTCTTTTTTGAAATAAGAGATGAATGAAGCAAACACCACTTGCTTAACTCATTTTGAATCCTAGCTTCTAATTTCATATCCTTTTCCTTTTTAACATAAATGCATGATGCTGCCTTCAAATCTGTGTTAAATAGAACTGTATTTTCACTTGCCTTTGCATCTGAAGTCCTGGCATTGAGTGCATTGACCATGGAGGAGGCTGTTGGTTTTGCTTTAGAATAGCTAAACCTAGGGAGATCTGAGAACTTTATGAAGTAACAGTGTTGCCAATAGGCATAGTGCAGAATTAACACATTAGGTGTGTCTTCCATTTCTAAAGTAACCTTTGCCATTTCCTGCACTAACCAGTCTGTCATCTTCAAGAATTTTGCAGAATTTGGTTCATAGGGCCTAATTCACGCACTTACAAAACTAATTATCTTTTCTTCTTTCAAATGCCAGAAAAACTTTGTATTTTGCACAATGTGAAGATTCAGATGTTGTTTATTCTAATTTTTCTACAGAGAACCTTGAGAGACTTGACTTACTCCCTGCATATTTTGTATACTTTTAAATCCTGCATAAGCCTTATGAACAGATCGCTTGCAGGAAATTTGCATCTGGAAAAAAGAACCTCTCTTGTTTGCAGTATTCATTCAATTAACATTTTATTGTAATTTTTTAAAAGTTCATTATTACATGCTGCTTGGGTTTCACTGTCTTGATGAGATGGAGGTTCTGTTACCAGAACGAAAAGGTGATTCGTGTAGTTCTCACTCAGAAAAAGAACATACATTTTTGGGTTTTTCTGTGCTCATGGATTACTATGAAATGTCTCTTCACTTTGAATATAGCTCAGTGGATGTGATGTGTATGCTGTCAGTTGAGGTGATGGAAATGATGTCTTTGTTATGCAAATCTTAGAATTCTGTAAAGGTGTAAAAATACGTTACATTTCCTACCTAAGTTTGCCTTAAGTTAAACTCGATCTATGTTGTAAAAGAAATATCTTGCTGGTGTGGTAATTTCAGAAAGTAAAGGTAATATAAAAAATGCATCTGAGTATTGCACTTAATGAAAAATGTAAAATTATTATATTCCTAAATACACCACTGCTAAGGATGCATAAATGAGAGGAAAAATGTGTTTACAGGTGTTGCTAGTGAAAAGCAAAGAAGACTCCTATATAATTTGGAAATGGAACAAATGGCTAAAACAGCTAAAGCTCTTATGGAGGCAGTGAGCCACGTTCAGGCACCTTTTACTAGTGCGACACACCTGGAGCACGTGAGACCCATGTTTAAGGTGAGACACATGTTTAGTTATTCATGTAGAATATCACAGTTTCTTAATACAGAATACTGACAGGATCGATTGAACATACTAAATACTTGCATCTGCTATGTTTTGATCTTTTTATAAGTTATTTAACTTGCTACAGGAGAGAAGGAATTTTGAGTCTTCTAGTTTAGTTTCATTTACCCTGGAATTTAAGACTTTTTTCTGCTGCTAGAAGCAATATCATGATACAATGTTATGAGTTATGAGGAGTATGTTAAGGGGAAAAACGTATAGAGAGTAGGTAAAAGCTTGAAATGATAGGTATAGAGGTGTAGTCAAATATCAGATATATAGAAGTGAGGAATTACTACTTTCAGTTCATTGTTTTGAGTCCTTCCTACAGCTTCTAAGGGAGATGACAAATGCATTTTGTGTGGGAGCAGTTATCAGAACAAACTTCTATCTAATGCTACCCATTGCAAATTGGTATTTTAGGAGAGCTAGGACTCTCATCTAGTTCAGGGGAATGTAGCTGGACCTGTATTAAACCATCATTCTAAACACCCATCTTTGCTATTGTGTGGGTGCAAAGTTGTCTGCATCCCAAATGCCTTTTCTATACCATTGGTTCAGATTCATAGATACAGAGTACATCCAGTAGTGTATGTTGCCTCAGTGTGCTGTTGGATATGGCATAACTAACTCATAGTGGTTATCTGCCACTGAAATAAATTACTCTTACTACGTGCTCTCATTTATTGCCCTCGTGCAAGTCGTGGTCCTCACATGATCCCTTTGTGAACTGCTCCAGGGAGTGAAGTCTCAGACCACTACCATTACAATAAACAAATATTTTCCTAGAGGGATGTGATGTGAAGCAGAGCTCCAGGCCCAGGAATCACGGAATCATTTAGGCTGAAAAAGACCCTTGAACTCTGTCCAACTGTTAAATCAGCACTGCCAAGTCCACCACTAAACCATGCCCTTAAGTGCTGCATCTACATGTCTTTTAAGTGCCTCCAGGGCTGGTGACAGCACCACTTCCTGGGCAGCCTGGTCCAGAGTTTGTCAACCTCTGTAAGGTTGACAGACTTTCAGTAAAACTCCTTCTGTAAAGAAATTTTTCCTAATATCCAGTCTAAACCTCCCCAGTACAACTTGAGGCCATTTCCTCTCATCCTTTTGCCTGTTACTTGGGAGAAGAGACCAATTCCCACCTCTATCACCAGCTTCTTTGCCATTCTCTGGACATGTTGCAGCACCTCAGTGTCTTTCTTGTCACAAAGGGCCCGAAACTAAACACAAGATCTGAGGTGCAGCCTCACTAGTGCCAAGTACAGGGGTGCAATCACTGCCCTGGTCCTGCTGTCTACACTGTTTCTGATATGAGCCAGGATGCCATTGGCCTCCTTGGCCACCCGGGCACACTGAGGATCTAGCTGTAAGATTGCTGTCCATGTGGCAAACTTCTGAGTTTTGTCACCTTATTAATAAAAGCAGCATAGTACTCTGTTTATAAGGAAGAACACTAAGTGTAGCCCTTATAAAAATCTGCTATCAGGGTGTCAAATAACTTGCATGCAAGCATCTGTACAATTGTCTATTTTTCCTAAAGATACCAGCCCTAATACTGCTGA